TTTTTTTTTTCCCCCCCCCCCCCCCCCCCCCCTCCTCCCGTACGCAAATCTTTTCCGTGTCCGCGCGCGCGGTTACCGTAGTCACAGCCGTAACTCTACGGGGCGTGCTTGTAAATATATGCAAAGCGTATTTATTATACTTCGCGGAGTTACGCGTGGTCTTAGAAGTTCCCCGAGAGTAATGGCGCCGGGATCCCGCGGCATCCTGCTCCCCCTCCTCCACCTCTTCCACCTCCTCCACTTTGGACGGAGCAGAAATGGGGAAAGTAAACAACCGAGATGTTTAGACAAATGCATTCACCGGAGCCGCTTTTGTTTCACATAATCGCGTTGAAAATAATCGCGAGGCCGTCAACGGGCGGGACCCCTCTCGGTCTGTGCGTTCCGCGCTTCTATTCACAGCGCCGTACTTCTACTTAACGTTAAAGGCGGCCGTCGCCGGCGAGAGTTTGAGTTTTACTCGCCTGTCGGACGAGGAAATCGCATTCAATGTGCCAATGAGCTAAGTATCATGCCGCCACTTTTAACGTTAACGGCGTAACTTTGACGGGGGAAAGCCCGGCCTTGTCGCTTCCGTCGCGCCCCGGAAACCTTCTCTAATCCCAGAATACCGCCTGTGCAGCGTAGCTGCGTCAATTAACACTCTCGTGTTTAACACGTCTTTGACGAGTCGAGGAACCAGTGAGAAAACTCGATTCCGCGCGATTGAGGCGCACTTTTTGCCCAATTCTGCTCGGCGTCTCGGTCGAAGCCGTCCCCGCCATCACACGCAGCGTCGCTTCGCACGCGCGATCCCCCGTGAAGCTCTTTTGTACGAGACAAAAATACAACAGGGAGGTAATCGCGCAACTGCCATTAGCGAGACCCGAGTCTCTGGCGTTCAACTCAATCCTGGAAAAATTACCTCGCGTAACTTATATAGTAAACCCGATGGAGCTGCAATCCACTTCGGAGACCTCGCCACGTCGTCGATTTTGATCGACGGGGTGGCCCCAACGTGTTCCAAGGGGGAAACAGTTTTTCTCTCGCCTTCTTCTACTTCTCCTTTTCTTTCTCCCTCACTCTATCTATCTATCTATCTATGTATCTATCTATCTATCTTTATCCCTTTATTTCCCACTCCTCTCTCTCTCTCTCTCTCTCTTTCTTTCTCGCTCTATTTCTTTATATCCTCGCCTGTCGGTCTGTGCCCCTTTTGTTTTCCATAGCAACATCCTCCAGACTGCCAGTCTTGTCTTACACTCCGTTCCGAAGCTCCCACGCTTCATAAGCACTTCGCGGTCCCTCCAACAGGGTAGGATATTCGGTCGAGCTATCAGCACTGCCGAAACTAGGAACTACCTAGGATGGTTCTCTGGCTGCCTATATAAACAATTGGGGACGAAATACTGTACGAGGCCGCGTGTGGATTTTGGGCACGCATTGAGTGCTTTATTAACATGAATGATGGTAACTGTTGATACAAAAATCTCCGTCGGGACGTCAATAATGCTTTTTCTTATTAACAAAATAATATCTGCGCGACAAGCAGCGCGATTTCTATATTCTTGACAAATATTATTCTTGAGAAATATTAATTCTCCGATGAGACGTATGAAATCTTGCGAATTTGTTTCGACGATCAATTATCGATTAGACTGATTAAGCAGTATTAATTAACCGGTGGACGGGAACATTCCAGTTTGTGTTATTATCAAAACATGTTATAATTATATAGTGAGCCAAAATCTTTAATATATTCTTAATGTTTTAAATTTAAAAAAAGGTGCGTGGGAGGAGAGATGGTTGATAATCGACATTCATAATTCATATTCGGCCTTGGACGGTACGAGATATACACGAAATCTCCGACACGACACTTGCTCAAACATTGTTAACTATGATAATTAATACAACACCGCGAAATTCGCGGACTTTAATAAGTAACCGATCGAGCGCTTTTAGCGTTTAGCCGATTCGGCGACAGAAATGTGGCGCCGTTAAACGACCTGATATTTTCTGAACATTTTTTAGACACGCTGTATCGTTTCGCTCGGAGAAGTTTTGACGGACACCGGCGCGTACGTTCTTTTGCGATTTTAGAGCTGATCGCGTTCGCGCCCGTTTTGTAGAAATTCCGGTCGCGAGGATAAGCGGGGAAACTCGACGGGAAAGCCGAGGCTTCGCGGCGGCGGAGCGATTTTTCTTTATCGCAGAACGATCGTCAACGAGTTATCGAGTCCGGAGGAAGTTTTCGCATCGAGAATCCGCCACTACGAGGATTCGTTTCTAGGATTTACGATTTATATCACGGCGCGGAATCCAATCATGTTCCGTCGAAAGTTGTAGGCCACAAATCAGAAGTTAACTGCAAAATCTGCGCGAGACAGATCAGAAATCGAATTACAATCGACGCGGCGTTACTTTCTCTCCCGGATGTCGCGTACGCCGCTTTCAGATATGCCGCGATTCAGCGAAACAGCATGCGCTGACTAATTGCCGCGGATGTTTTGCGCGATGGGGCGGTTAATTAAAAAGGAAAAAATAATCATACATGAGTCCCGTCGCGCTGTTTGTCCTCAATCGAGAAATCGCACCAAATGAATTTCAATAAATTACCATTGTATATTCTGATAAATTTGCAGAAGACCGACATGTATTGCCGGTATTTTTTAAGTGTCAGGAAACGCGATCGAATTAATGAACAAGTTTTGCACGAATGATGACCCGATAGACGATGATCCGTGCGAAACTTTCGTGACACGTGCGAAATTTCGGAAATCGATGCGTCACCGAAAAGCTGGACAATCGTCCGAGAAAAAGGGAAATATCGAATGTGCGCGAAATTAAATTGACATTACAGTCGCGATACTAAATGTCTCTCTCAAAGTGGCGGCCTGCGAATGAAACGTTTGTGATTTTTCGAGATGCGCTGATACTCTAATGGATGGCTTTCGAGCGCAATCGTGAACAAAAAAATATATTAATTCCACAATCCGCGGGTATTATGTCGGTCGACGCAACTAAAAAAAAATCGATCGAACACTCTCGCGTCGGATGCACTGAATTTCGCAATTTCGAAATTAGTACTCATCACGCAGATTTATCCGGAACTGGTATCTCTGCTGTTGGTAAGAGGTCAAGCGGGATTCAATTTCATTTCTTGTTTTATTTAACACAGCAATAATGTATCAAAATTTATTTGGAGAAGCACAGTTGAAAAATAAAACTTCCGATTGTCGCGTCGCAGTTGCGAACAGCGGCGTGGACACATTGCCAGAGAATTTCGCTGTTAGAAGGTTTCATAATATAACCGTCGTCTAAAATTTTCAAATGCACAGATGTAAAAAAGGACTACGAGTTCGGCTTTAAAACGAAAACGCCACATTGTCTCTCGTAACGCGCGTGTAGATTAATTAGAGACAATTTACGACATATCTCGCATTTTCTGTATATTGAAATGTTGTTAGAGTTATTAGTACTATATTAATTAACACTAGTCATATTAGTTAACGTTATCAGAATTATATTTCGTGTAAAAATACGTTAAAGTATTCGGCCTATCTTTATAGTCGGCCGGGCTTGAAATATCTCCGCAATTTTGGACCGAGTTACATTGTCCATTCGGATGGGCGAGGCGGAACCCTTTCGGTACCGAAGAAGAACGT